AGTTAAATAGTCATTAAAAAAACCCCAAATCCACTGCTGTCGAGTCCATTCCGACTCATGGAGACCCCTTGGGCTTCCCAAGGTAGTAAATCTTTGTGGAAGTGGATTGCCCATTCTTCCTTCTGCAGAGTGGCTGGGTGGGTTTGAACCACCAACCTTCTGATTAGTAGTCAAATGTCTTAGGCACTATGCCACCAGAGCTCCTTGACTCCTACCTTGGGTAATGAAAAAAAAAAAAAAAAAACTCAGTCAAATTTAAGTAGAATCTAGATGTGGAGCTTAGCCTCTCAAGTGATTCAAAAAAAAAAAAAAAAAAAAAAAGGCTATCTTCAAAGCTCAGAAGCTGATTTAAGGGACTACATGTAAGACAACTATAGAATCAAGACACAGCTTTTTTTGTTTTCCTTTGGTTAATTGGACCTAAGGCCTTTTCCTTTCACTGAATGTTTCTTTCGGCACTGTAAATGCTAGATTCAAGTTTTAGTTTCCTGCCTGTTTTCCAGTAAGGGGGAAGAACATGCAAGCAAATGAGAACCCCCAATCTCTCACCAATACTAAAACCAGGAAGCTGGATTTAACTCCCCGGTTTGTCCTTTGTTCCTTGGAAGAACTCCCGGACTTAAACTGACATTGCAGCTGTTGACTGAAGATTACACAGAAGACTAATACATTCTCAAACTAATTGTCAGGCAAATTATCAATAAGTTTACCAAATATTTACATTTAAGTAAAGATGATTGATCAATCATATCCATAAGAAACTAAAAAGGTCAACTTCATTCCAACCCAGTACTAAACAAGAGAAGTGCCCTGTGATGACCAAATGCTTGTACAATGCAGAGTGACCGCCATCACTGAGCCAAAATATTATCACATGCTCCAGGCAGAGGCCAGCTCCTCAAAGCCAGCCAGCTTTCCTCGGCAGACAAGAACATGGTGCTGGTGGCGTCTATCAGCACCAGGTGATAAGTGAAAGAAAGGGACACATTTGTAGCCAGAAATCCTTCAGAAACAAATCTGCAATTCACCTTTGAGAAAAACAGAAAGAGTAAACAATAAATTTAGTGTATAAAGAACTGAACTGTAAGATCTGGCTTCTATTATTAGCCCTAACTGACCACTGGCAAGACCCTCAACCACTCAGAGTTTGGGTGCCTTCATCTGTGGAGTGGACAGCTCGGTTCAGTGGCCTGTGTGTGCCTTTCAGTTCTGATCTAACTCAATGCTCTTCAAGTATCTTTCAGTTGTGATGTAATTATTTTAGATTTAAGGTGGAGACTTGCCTTACTCCACTATTGTTATCTTGATGCCCACCACAAACTGAGCTCTTAACACGTAATTGTTCAATAAGGCAATGTTGATGCTTTCTATCCAGCTTCAACTAGAATTCTAATACATTCTTAGAATCAGACCTGGATGAAAATCCCTCCATATCCAGCAATAGCTAATACAAAACTAAACTTAGGGCCCAGTATGACAACCAATTCAAAACAGAAAATGTTTAAATCCATAATGGAAATTTATGCTGTTAAAACTGAACCTCCTCTCAAATAGGAAAAAGGAAAAACTTTACTAAGGTAAGTGTAAATTTTTGTGGTTGTTAAAGAATTGGGAATCAGATCAAAGTTACTGGAAATTCCCCAACCACTAAGTAGAAAATACACAAACATATGATTAAACTGAAAACCACCTATCTCTTACTCAAAGTAACTGTTCCATTCATATCTTGAGTTTTCAGTCTTGGTGGTATGCCTGTCCAGTTTGGATTTACACTAGAGTTGTGTGAAATTAAATACCAAACCAAAAGTACACCCATCAATGCATATATATTTAAAAAAAGAAAAAGCTACGGCAGACGCATCCGGACGTTTTGCTATAAAGCCCAACTTTTCAGAATGCTCCCTAATGGTAATGGGGATTCCTTACTGTAACATACAGAAGTGATGGCTGCCGTCTGTCGCAGCATTAGCTGCCACGCACCACCATCATCCTGTTCCTAACAGCCAGTTTACTATGCCTTCTATGCCACTAGCTTCCTTAAAAGGCAGTTTTTGAAAGAAATTATTTAAGCGACCAACAAGTTACAAGAGAATGTTGTGTTTTTAAGGTGAGATGTGACAATGTCAGTAAAAGAAATGTGCACCTTTTCAATAAAGGGTTTTTGAAATAGACCTTATCTCTATACTTGTCCTTTAGGATCTCCACTCCAAAAGCAGATGAAGTCATTTCAGGAATGTCTCCACTGCTCAGATAAATATGATGTGACAGGAAGAATTTTAAGACACATTTTTTTTCTTTTTAAAGTTTGCTAATGCATTCTTAAATGTTCACATTTATACAATAAGAAACAACTTTTTAATAGAGTATTCTTAAAATGCTTGAGAACTTTGGCAAATGCTCCAGAAGGCATTCTGCAGCATCCTACACACTGGATTCCAGAACGCCGTTTCATCTTCAGACACGCACTTGTGCCAGGGTCAGTGGAACAGACAATTCTATTTATCAAAAAGCTGAGTTGCCTGTTTAAAATGAGCTGTCCAAGTCCCACCTGAATTGCTCTATGACCAGAAAACTCCAGAACCGCTTTGACGGAGAGAATGCTGACATTTTCAGGAGTGTCCCGAGCCACTGACCTTGCAGGGTGACTGCCTGGAGAGCGCTGTGTGGCACTGGGGGTGGGGGGGTGCAGAGCAGCTGTCATGCTCCCAGCACAACCGGGTGTAAGCTTCCTCTGCTCGCCATGTTTACTTTGTGCACACCAACCCTGAGGGCATGCCTTTTCAGGAAACTTCAACATCACTCACTGCTGTGTGCCCTTTGCCGCAGCCAGCAGTTCAAGGAATTCTACTTATTTCAATCTCCTAACAATAAGCAAATAAAAACACAGTACTTTATGCTATTTGGGTCAAATTAATTTTATTATGCTCCATGATGAATTGCCACCAGTGCAACATCCTATTCACTATACATGTCAAAAAAAAAAAAAAAAAAAAAAAAAATTCACATACTAAACAAAATTTCAGGTGATAAATGGAAATGAATGATTGAAAGTCTTTATGAATCTCATACATACAATTTGTGGCTAGCTGAAATTGTCTTATCACGCATAGCGTTTATAGAAAAAGCCTCATGCTCATTTGTTAAATGTGAAGGCTATCAGACAATCATTTAGCTGGCGTACACGTGGGAGGCTTTCAGGTGACGCACAGGTACAACGCGCTCACAGAGCAAGATGGCAGAGGACTGAAACATGCAACCCTAACATCGCACTTGGTAAAGCAGATTGAGTCGTCATGCCTGGCTGGAATGTCACAGCAGCTGTGTGTCAACCAACAGTAATTTAGACTTTGTGCAACAACAAAAATTCTTTTTTCAAAAAGGAAAAAATAAGTTCAATTACCCTTTGGCAAATCATACCCATCTTACATGCTTAATATCGTGTTCTCAACCCAAAGAGCTGATAGCCTCTACTCAGAGAAGTTCCTGATAAATTTTGATCACACCAAAGTTAGCTATAAATCCCTGAATTCCTTGATCAAACGAGAGAGAGATCTTAAACTGGCATTACCTTAAAGACACTTCTAGAAAATTTGAAATATTTTTTATAATATCAAAGTGGTAAAAGAAAGAAAGTGTTTGTTATTTAAAATAATTATAATATTCTATTGACCATTTGCACAAATTCTGAATTCTATCGGTTACTTGCCCAGCCTCATCCATACCAGACTCACTGAGTAGAAGCCACAAAAAAATAAAAGTAAGCAGAAAAAGGTGTCTAGCAGCAGAGGGCACTGTTTTTGCAAGAAACAAGAAGTCTAGAACCTTTTCCAGGTGCTTAAATTACTCTTGCAAGGAAGGTTAACATTTTCTGAATAACTTAACTATTTTACGGCACCACTTACTGCTTTCAGTAACAAAACCTTGAAATTATTTATTATAACTAGATGCATGATCACTAGAGATTATGTGATAACTGGTTAAAATCCAAGCTACATCTCACAGGTCCAGCCTGTCAAGATCATGCCAGTACTTGATTTTGGTCGGTACAAGTCTAGAAAGCTTAATTTTCAGTTGGATATTGAGACTACAGCAATGAAATACATTTGGAACTACATTCTGTGTATGACTCAATGTGAGAAAAATATGTGTCTGTATTTAAATCAGATCATTTTCTACCTAAAATTTAAAGAAGGTAGGTATGACAGTTAGCGCTATAAATACCAAACAATCACCTTAGGCAAATTAGTGCATTGTAGAGGCAAGGAAACCCTAATTTTAATACACCATTTAGTATGCACACCAAATGCGCAGGGCGTAAAGTTTTATTTAAAAAAAAAAAAAAAAAAAAAATCTGTCATTATGTGTCCAAGAAATTTGCCCACCAATCTTTCAAGAAAAATGTACCCCTTCACCTGACATTTGACAAAAACCTTGATAAATTATCAAAGTGAAAAAAATATAGCACATTAAGTTTAGCATTATAGGGCATATATTTGCAATTTTTTAGATTAGACTTTTATGCTTGGTATTTTCAAATATCTCAATCTGTGTACAAACCTAAAAAATATAAATACTTAATTCTACACCATTTTTAGAATGCTGTGATTTTTATAGTCTACATAACCATAGACAGCCCTACAGTTCAAGCACAATGGCGCCTGCCCCCAGTGTCCCAAACTCTGACAACTTCAGGAACTTTTGTTTCAGAATACTACCAAAAATATTTTAAAAAGTGTTTTGCCAAAACAGCCTGCAACATTTGGTACAGCACGAAAATAACCTCAGCCAAGTGCAGGTATGCAAGGTCCCTGTGATTCCAGCCTCACAGGCCGCTGCTGTCCAATCACGGGCATCTCTGTAGTGACTTTATGTAGAGCATATGGCTAACATCTGAGAAACTGCATCCGTGTAGTGACGTCTGAAGAACTGTGCTGTAACATTCCGGTAGCACTGTATTCAAAATGAAGGGGCTAGATAAACTAAGGTTTGCCTCACTTAAAAAAGAATGGAGTGCTATACTCGATTTGAATAAGAAAATTTAGGTACAGAAAAAGTAGGGTATGAAAATAGTGTTTTCCTTCTGGCATTATAACTAAATTACATAAGGTTTTTGTCAGTCTCACATAAAATATTTAAACTCCCTTGATGGAATGAAAAATATTCACAAATAAAGTGAGCATTCTGGTGTAAACCTGCACACAATAACAGGGAGTAGCTTTGTAGAGGATATGACAAACCTTTACAGATTAAATGAGGTATTGCACAGATTAATAAAAAAAAGCAAAAAAGGCAACAAAAATATACAGCAAATTGGTAGAACATTTACATGATAATTTTACAGAATCCATAGACAGAAAGTAGTGTTTAGTATTTCACCTTAAAAATATATATATATGTATATATATAATATATATTGATCAGTCTTCCCATTCATCATCATCCTCAAAATCTTCTTCATCATCCTCATCCTCATCTTCATCTAGAAAAAAATGATCAACATGAACAACTGAAAGATAAGTACATAAAATAACATTATACAATTCTTAGGTCATTTGCCCCATTATTTAACCAGGAATTACAAACCATTTGATTCCAGAAGGGATCTAGTTACTAAGATAGGCTAAAATGAATCTAATGAAATCAATCTACAGAGTGTGATAGTGAGCTGAATTCTTTTAGAAGAGTTAGATGACTTGGGTTCTAGTTCCTTAGTATGTAACAAGTTGCAAGCTGTGTGCTTCATAATGTGGAAAATCACTTCTAGGTTGGCCTTTCTGAGATTTACCTGTGCAAACGGCAAATCCAACTGCCTTCCTGTAGTTGTCACACACAGATTCTCAAACTCAAAACCTCTAAAGCTTTATTTCCTTCCCCAATAGGCTCTGCCCCCTCCACTGTATGTTGTCTCATTTCAATTAGTGGCATTCCCATCCTCATGTGATTAGGACAAAAACCTAGAAATTATTATTGATTCCTCTTTTCCATCATCCTCCACATCCAATCTATCAAGTCAGCTGCTTTTGAGCCCTTCCACAGCTACACGCCACATTACCACTTGCTTGGACTGTTGCAAATCTACATCCATTTGCCTCAGTGCCTCCAACCAAATGGAGTGCTGTGACGTAATACATTTTAGCAATATCACATTGCTACCCTTCTTAAAATACTCCAGTGGCTGATCACTGCTAGTTGAATAAAATTTGACATGTTACCTCACTCTACAAGACCCTGCATGATTTGACCAGTTACTGTCTTGCCCCTTAAGACTTGTCTCATAATGCCCACACCCTCCCTTCAAAAGTCAATGTTTCTAGCAACACGACCTCCCTTCTGTCCCTCACACATGCCAAGCTTATTTTTGCTTTAAATCTCATGTAGTAGCTACTCCTTTTGTCTGACCGACTCATTCTCATCACTGATGACACATGCAAAATCCACCTCCTCAGAGAGGCTTTTCCTGACCACCCTATGTAAAGTCTAACCCTTCCCCCAATCAGCCATTCTCCTAATTTTTGAGAAGTTTTCCTCCTAACACCACTAACTGAAATTTAGGGTTAGAGCTATGGTATCCTGGCATCCATTAAGTGTCAAACAAACTAGTCACAGAGGCAGTAACTTCCTTAAAATAAGCGCCAGAAACTACATCAGTAAGTTACTCAATCAGCAGAGAAAAAGCTAGCAAAGGTGAGCTGTAAAATAAAATACAGTGTCAAACACTTAAATGTATTAAATATACACGTATACACCTGAAAACATACCTGAAGAATGAATGGCTTTGCTCCTTTTCTGCATCACTTCCATTAGTGCACCCACAATTCCTGAAGTGGGTGCAGGTGTTGGCGGTGTAGACTCCTGGCCATCAGACACCTTGAAGAGAAAGTTAGCAACATTCAATAAAGAATCCTTAATGAAGAATATCTATTTCCAGAAGTATTATTTTCTTAGCATCACGTCTTAATTAAATAGAAGGAAAAAGGCAAACAAGCCCAGGACAGAATTAATCAAATTAACAAGAAATACATTATTGCCTTATAATATTATTCAAGAAAAATTCCCGCTCCTCCTTAATGCTGGAAGGAAGATGAGGCATTTCAAGTGTTGGGTCACATTTAGGTATCACTCTTTCTTGAAAAATACTTGCTTTTGTGTCTGGGTACTTCTGTTTATTCCATAAAGTCTTAGATGAAGAGATCATCATCAAGAGACATCATTTTTCACACATGGGATAATATTCAGATTCTTTGAGTTATTAAATAATAAGTACACTTAATATATCTAAGAGTAACTGAAGAGATTTCTAGAAAAACTTGGCTTCATTAATAAACTTTATACCTTTTTATGTTTAAACTTCGTATAGTATAGTTAAGGAGCTCTGGTGGCATACTGCCTAAGGCATGTGACTGCTAACCAGAAGGATGGCAGCTCAAAGCCACCAGCCACTCCATGGAAGGAACCCTGGGCAATCTACTTCTGTAAAGATTTACTGCCTCAGAAACCCAAAGAGGATTGCGATGAGTCGGAATCAAAACCTGTCAGAGAAGAAAAACTGAAATATTTTCCACTAAAATGAGTGATACAAAACTGGTAAGACAAGTTCTGGTAAGATGGTGGAATAGGCAGACAAACTATACAGGCCCTCTTCAACAAAGAAAAGAAGAACCAATTAACACAGATACAGAAGAAAATCCTGGGCCCTAAGCTTTGAAAGGAAGAATACAGAAGTGAACTAAACTCCAACTAATAGAACTTCCATGAAAACAGCTAAAAAGGAGATAACAGAGCTGCAGACTGTCAGTGATGCTGGTGGCATGGGCAGCTGGGATATGTCCAAGTGGTGGTTGGAACTAAGAATTAACCTGAAAACTGGTCCTGGTGCCTGGGGGCAGCACGGACACTGCACTGATGGTTGCTGAATAAGGGGGGAATAGGGAACAGGGAGATGAGCTGAGCTGTGGACTTCTGGCTTTCTGGAGGACGCAACCATTTTGAATGTTTACAAGTAGTTTGATCATTTTGGATATTAAAGTGACAGTGTTCTCTCAGATTCTTAGGGACCTAAGAATACGTGCCACTTGTTGGGGACAGCAAGGACCTATCAGACACTGAAGAATGGAAAGGTGAGATATTCCCTTTGTAACTCTTACCTCTTGGTGAACAGAGGTATGGCCATAGCTCACCCCACCCACCTTCTGGGCCGGCAGGAATTCCATCCTACTCTGTGTGCTCTGACAGAGCCTGGGTGCCCTATCCCTCCTAGATTTTTATTTTTGCTTTGTTTTTTGTCTGTTTTAAAATGATTCTTTTTTTTTCCTTCCTTTTTCTTCTTCTTCTTTCTTCTTCCCATCTCAGGTTCTAGTTTTCGGCTTTTTCTCTCTTCCCTTTTCCTGGTTCCCATTTTTTTTCTTCTGGTTCTCCCCATTCCTTGTTTTCCTTCTTACATTATTCTGTTTTTCCTTTATCATTATTCTCCTACTCTACCTCTTTTCTCTTATTCCCCCTTCCCAGGTACTGTGTTTTCTTTGCCCCCTTTTCTATTCACATTTCTTTTGTCTTTTAAAAGTATTTCTTTCAGTATTTCTTCCCATTTATTGCATTTTTTTTTTTTGTTGTGATTGCCCCTGTGTATTTATGTGGTGTGTGCTTTTTGTCCTCCTGCTTTTATTTATTTTTTCATTATTGTTTTTGTCTAACCGAGTGGGAGACAGCAACCAGGCCTATACGATCAAAACACACCTGCACCTCCTACCGCTTTCTGTCTTCCCCAGCAATTCCCTTCCTTTCCTGTCTTGGGAGGTGGGGGTGTGTGGGTCCTGTCTCCCAGCCCCTTACCTGGATCCTGCCACCTTTTGTCATCCAGGCCGGTTCCCTCCTTTCCTGCTTCGGGGGGTGGGGGTGGGCGGTGTTCCTGTCTCCCAATGCCTCACCTGGATCCTGCCACTTTTTGTTGTCCTTGGCGGTTCCCTCCCTTTCCTGCCTTGGGGGGGTAGTTGTGTCCTGTCTCCCCGATGAGTACATAAGTGCTGCCAATTAGTGAATAAAGGAACACAGTACCCTGCTTACTCAGATACATCTAAAGAAAACAAAAATCTTGGGTGAATCACTCCAACATACAATCACCAATTAAATATATATACAATGTCACAATGTTCTGGAGACAAAAGACCATCACAGTCCACACAAAGATGCAAGATAAAGCAGGAGAAACAAGGGAGTAGGATACAGACCCAGAATACATTCCCAAAGAAGCAGCAGCACTGGAACTCCCTGAGAAGGAATTCAAAAGAATTATATTTAGGTACCTTCAAAGGATTGGAAGACAGATCAAGGAAAACACTAACAAAGTTAATGAAAACACAGACAAACCCTGACAACAACTTTGGAAGAAAATACAAGAACAAAATGACAAAATAAGTGAAAAATTAGAAATGATACAAAATCTACAGATAGAAATCCAGAAGACTAACACTAAATTTTCAGAAATAGATAACACATTGAAAGGGCAAAAGAGTAGAATTGAATCAATGGAAGACAGAATTAATGAGATTGAAGACAAACACCTGAATACTTCTTTGGAAAGCGATCAGTCAGAAAAAAGATCAAAATAAAATGAAGAAACCCTAAGGCACATGTGGAATACCATAAAGAGAAATAACCTACATGTAATCAGAATTCTAGAACAGGAAGAGAAAAATAAAACCAGAGAGAAAACTGTCCAAGATTTGTTGGAAGAGAACTTCCCTGATATGATGAAAGATGAGAATATATCCATGCAGGAAGTCCAATGAACCCCAAACAGGACAGACCCCAAAAGAAAATCACCAAGACATATCATCATCAAACACACCAAAACCAAAGACAAAAAAAGAATCCTGAAAGCAGCATAGGAAAAATGAAGTTACCTACAAAGGGCAACCAATAAGACTAAGCTCTGATTTCTCAGCAGAAACCATGCAGGTGAGAAGGCAATGGGATGGTATATTTAAAACACTGAAGAGAACAATTTCCAACCAAGAATTATATAACCAGCAAAACTGTTCCTCAAATATGATGGTGAATAGGAGATTTCCAGACAAGCAGAAATTAAGGGAATTTGTTAAAACCAGACCAATCTTAGAAGAGAAACTAAAAGGAGTCCTTTGGACAGAGAACCAATAATAGCAAACAATAAACCATTAAGACACATGATGACATAACCCAGAAACCAAGCCAGTTACGGAAGTATCCAAAGTAAAATAAGCTTACAAGATTGTAAACTGTGAACCAGAGACATCAACTGGCAAAACTGGCAAATGAAGACAACTACAAAACAAAAAGAGGGAAGACATACTGTAGTTACAGAACTTCTGAATAGTGAAGTAGTCAAGAGTTGCAAGCTAGAATGGACTGTTCTAAACTCAGGGAGAAAATTATAAATCACAGGATAACTACAAAGAAAAATGGTAAACCTTCACATCAAAATAAAAAAGAGGACAAGCATAAATATTTAGCAAATACTAAAACAACAGAAACAAAGGAAAGGATAACATGATTCATAAAAACAATGAGCTCAGCATATAAAACTATATAGAACAAAGAAACCAGGAATACCATGAAAAAACATATAACAAAATGTCAGCAACAAATTTATACCTGTCAATTATTACACTGAATGTCAATGGATTAAATGCACCACTTAAGAGACAGAGTGTTGCAGACTGGATAAGAAAACATAACTCATCAATATGCTTTCTAAAAGAGACACATTTTAGAGACAAAGACAAACACAGACTAAAAATCAAAGATTGGAAAAAGATATATTAAGCAAATGGCAACCAAAACAGAGCAGGAGTGGCAGTATTTATTTCTGCTAAAATTGACTTTAACACAAAAACCACCATAAGAGACAAGGAAGGATATTATATAATCATTAAGGGATCTATCGAACAAGAAGACACAACTATAATAAATACCTATGGACCCAATGAAAAAGCCCCAAAATACATAAATCACACATGAACAGAACTGAAAAGACAAACAGATGACTCCACAGTCATACTAGAAGACATTAATACATCACTTTCAATGAAAGATAGAACTGGAAAGAAACTCAACAAAGATGCAGAAGAACTAAACAATACAATCCACCAACTTGACCTTATAGACATCTACAGAGCACTTCACCCAACAACAGCACAATATACATTCTTTTCCAGTGCACATGGAACACTCTCCAGGGTAGATGATATGTTAGGCCATAAAGCAAGCCTTTTAAAATTTAAAAACATTGAAATACTGCAAAGCATCTTCTTAGATCACAATGCTATAAAATTAGAAATCAACAATAGGAAGATCAACAGAAAAAGAGCAAACATATGGAAACTGAACAACATCCTCCTAAAGAAAGACTGGGTAAGAGAAGAAATAAAAAATGAAATTAAAAAATTCCTTGAATCAAACCGGAATAAAAACACAACATACCAAAATCTTTGGGACACAGCAAAAGCAGTGATCAGAGGCCAATTTATAGCAATACATGCACACATCAAAATAGAAAGAGCCAAAATTAACACCTTAA